GGAGAGAGACAGAAAGAGAAACAAACAGACAGAAACAGACGAACACACACACACAAGCACACATCTTACAATTACTACTTATATATACATATAAACCCCTACTTATAAATAATTGATAGTGTAGCATTAGCATTTATGGTTAAATCAAAGTTGGAAGCTTCTGTCTGCTTGAGAATGGAAGATGTAAAACCAAAAAAAAATCCAATTACATTACAAAGTAGTAAATATGGGTTTGTTTTATATCCATACCATGTTTCTACGCTTCAGTATGTGTGAGTATGTATGTGTACATGCATGCATGCACGTGTGCGTATATGTATGTGTGTTCATTTGTGTGTATGTATCTGTATGTGTGCATGAGCGAAATTAAATTAAATAAATATTAAATAGATGTTTGCTGGTATGTGTTTGTTTGTAGGCAATGATGAATAAAACAAATTGATGTAACTATGTAACTATTGGCAAAGGATTATTATTTGCGATTGTTATTAACGCACGCACGCACGCACACAAAGAAGCAAACACAGACACACACACACACACACACAGAAACATGGCATTCAATAGTTCATCATACATATATACAACATACAATTCTCATGAAGTCGCACTGCACATGCATACACATCATATGAAACATGTGAATAAAAAGATGATTCAAACGTTATATAGCATGGATGTGACATTGTTATAGAGCACACATTTTAATGAATTTTTATACAAATGCAGGCAATATGTGATATATATATATATACACATATGTGTGTGTTATAATCATATGAATTATATTCATTTTTTGTAGTGTGTTTTTTGTATGTGTGCGTGCGTATGTATGAGTGTACTATTGTGTACAGTTTCATACAAAACACACAAATACATCTACATGCATATATATAAGTTGATATAATTTTAAAAGAAATGAATAAATGATTGAAAGAAATGTAATGAAAACTTAATGAATGAAAGTGAAATAGACAGCAGATGTATGAATGAAGATTGAAATAAAGCTGAGAGAAAAATTTTCAATATTAAACATAAGTGACTGTTTATTAAACATAAGTGACTGTTTTGTACATACAATTACATACACATGTGCATTCACACACATATACATATAAATGTGTTTCAATTGTTTACATTACATAACAATGTTTGTATATATAAGCATGTATTTAGCTATTTGAATTTAATGAGTAGGTGTGTTTGTTGGTTGTGAATATGTATGCGTCTGTGTGCGTGTGTGTGTGTACACACACGCATACCAATATGTGTGTGCATGTTTTTATATGTCAAATATAACTATAAAGAACATCTGCTATTGAAAGATGGAATGTTATGTAATGTAAGAAAGAAAGAGTGAATATGAGAATGATTTCATGTGCATATTGTGGAACATTATTTAATGGGATGTAAGTGTACATCCACATTTTGCATTGCAAATTATAATTTTTTATTTAAGGCTAACACAATGAATGACTACAGGGAAAAAAAAAAAAAAATTTTCCAACTGAAAAAAATTTGAAAAATGAAACAAAGAATTTTAAATCAAGGAAAAGATTTCCATGGACTCAAAAATAAAAAAACAGCAACTTGTTTTAAACAAAAATCCAGGACTGCCAAAAAACACAAACCTTGCAAAACAGCCCGATGCATGTAGGGATTGTATGCTCCCCACGACTGAAGAGGCCCAAAACCAGGTGGGGCTATGGGTGGCAAGAAATCCACTGAACTGAGTGATGATGGTCTAACCAGCGGATCTGAGCATATCCCTGGACCCCCTGTCGCAAATATGGCGTCTGAGAATGCATTAGGTGCAAGAGGAAATATTCTGTGAGCATCAAATAAGGGGTAACTGCTGTATAGATTCGGATTCCTGTTGTTATCCATGGCTTTCTCTGTTTTATTGGGAAAATGAACATAAATTAGCTTTGTTTAACTAGTTTAAAGACATTTTAATCTACTTTTATTATGGTAGAATCAAGTTTTTAGTTAGTAAAATTAATAGTTTTAAACAGAAGAATCTAAATTTTCAGCTTCAATTGTTAACAAAAATTAGTCTAATCAGTAATGAGAAAGCAAACTTACATTTCAAGAAGACTACTAATCACAGACAGTAGTAGACATTTTTTTAATTCTATGGTTGGATATTTTTATTTTATCCATTTGAGATTGTCTCCTAACTAAATTAAATCTATAAAAATGATAATAACATAATTATAATATTCTAGACTAGAACTTCTAAAATTAAGAAGGTATTCAACAAAGTATTCAAATTCAAAGCAAGGATCAAACTTTTTAAATATCATTAAATTATATATTATTTTTTATCCAATTTTATAAGTGGAATATAAGTCAGTTTTTTTTTCAATTCCTGTTTGTTTGCAAAAAAAAAATTAAAAAAACATTGAATAAAAAAAATAAATATAAATAAAACTAGAAGTTAGAGTTATAAAAGAAATACAAAAAAACAAATTCATATAAATAATATTTTCGAAGTATTATATCTAATTATAATTTATATTTTATTATTAATTATAAATTTTTAATTATTTCAGTAGAAGATTTTCAAAGTTTCAAACTAGAAAAAATATTAGTTAAATATTATTTTACTTCATTTAAAAATATATTTAAAAAAACTATTTTTAACAAACTTTTAATAGCAAATAATCATCAACTTAATAAAAAAATGATATGTTTAATTTTTTAAACATTTCAACGAATTATTTTTAAACGCCAGTTAACGTAACCACGAACATTGACCCACGTAACGTATTGCACAGTTTCTTTGTATGCAATTATTTATAGAATGCCAATTTTTATAGAAATGTATTAACTTAACGCTGATGTATAGCGTGCATTGGCCCGAAAGATGGTATACATTTTTGTACCACATACACGTTTCTCTGTACTTGTATTTGCGTATAACTCTCTCTTTCGATATTCCATCTCTTCAGTTTTGGTGCAGATTATTATTATCTCCAGTTTTTTAAAACTGCGCAATTGCTTTATTTATCGAAGTTTGGACGTTTTTTCGATTTTTAAAAATTGAAAATTTGTTTCAGGGTTACTTATTTTAAGAAACCGTTAAATCAGTGGACGCATGTTGATTGAAAATTTAAATTCAATAAGGGCTGCATTATATAAAAACTGACCAATGGAAAATATAAGATGTCGACCTAGTTTCACGTTGGACCAATCCCAACATGCATAAATAGGTCCATCTTTTAGTAGTTCCATGTGTTAGTAGACCGCCATTGTGTTAAAAATGACGTAACTGCGTCGTAGTATATATGTAATCTGTAATGTGCCGTGTGTGTAATGTATAATAATGTGTTTCGTTGTCACAACGGGAAGCAACGTGATTTGTGATGACAAATTTTTGCAAAAGGCTTATTCATAAACACGAGCACGGACCCATATAGTTTATGGTTTCATTTTCTTATTCGAAAAACGAATAAATAATGCGTAATCAGCTGTTTTCAGAGTTTACCGATTAAGCAGTTCTGTGTGTGTGTTACCATTTATTTTATATTTACATTTATATAATTTGTTTTAAACAAGTGTTTACTTAAAGCACAATTCATAACATAGCATCGTAGTAATTTAGTTCAGTGAAAAATTTGAAATAGCTTGAGGACGGTCATGCTTAGCTCGTGTTATTGGCCATATAATACACTAGTTATAACTTGTTTTGGTTGAAAATCAAAATTTTCAATGAAAAATATTAACATTTTCAAAATTTATATATGTTATCCAATCATGTAGAATGTAAGAAAAAAGGTCATCCAAAAAAGATTTGGACTGACAACATCAGAGAAGACTTCAAAATAAACAACACAAACATCGCAGAAGCCGGAAAATGACAAAAAACGGGTGAAGACTTTGTGACTGACTATTGTTGCTCTAAGCAGGCAGACGGCAGAGAATAATGAATTTATGTATAAAAATATTTTCATATATTATTGTACACCAAAAATATGTGTTGTTTGTTGGTTTGTTTGTTTGTTTGTTTGTCCATACTTTAAACATCTTGGCTTCATTTATTTTGTCTGCTAATTTCAAAACGAGTAATTATAAT